TATTGTGTTTACGTTTTTAACTAGTCTGCACCGATATCTGCCATTTTCCTGATTGTTTAGCTTTCAGTTCGACTTTCATGTGAAAAAAACAGGCATTAAGTTACATTCCTAGACTTCAGAAAGGTCTAATCTGGTTCGCAATATTAAATTTCACCCCCAGTTTAAAGTTCTTGCATAGAGGACTTTCAGGACTTTGACCAGGCTCAACCTAATACTCAAAGCGCAAATATTTCCGCAAACATTGCTGCTCCGTCCTTTCCGTCAACCTCGCTGTTTGGAACAAGCCTGAAAGGTAATAATTCTTAAAAGTTTCGCGTCCACCATTGTAAATTAAGCGGAGCTGGCAAGCTTTGAAGTCATTTTCGGGGAATGTTAAGTGAAAATAACCTCCCACATAATGGATATAGTTCCCGAAAATAACTACGTAGGAGGGTAAGGATGTCAGTAGGAACATTTTGAAGTCCTTATGAACAGGCAAGGATTCCAAGACCTGAATTCACTAGTTACGCTAAACGTTCAGATTTTCAGTTTTTCACTAAAGGAAAATTTCACCTTCGGGTAGTAGACTCCCAGGAGAAGCTCGCACCTTATTAGGCATAAAACGGTCACGTTTGATCCTGGATCTGCGCCTGATTGATAATTTCTTTTCATGCATTTAAATAGCTGTTAATTGAATTCCTTTTGTCATTTTCCACGCTGCAAGGATTTTGTTGAAATCGTAATTAATCCATCGTTCTAGGAAAATCCGTTTCGACACACCTGGAGTACACGTGTTTCTGTCTGGCCTTGATTTTCTTTATTTTTATCCATTGCACAAGAATTTGAAAATCTCTGACATTTGCGGTGATCGCAAAGGCAAGTAAGGACATACTTCAGAGCTTAAATAATAGAGGCGCTATGCGATGAATACCGACCTCCTCTCAAAGAACACAAGGATAGTGAACCATAACGTGATCCAGGGGACTCCCCTCACCCAGCCCTCCCCCACCCTTCAACGTCACTTTGACGTCATGGTGACGTGTTTTGCTTCAGCTCTTCCTGCAAAATATAAATGTGCTCCGGTTATTTTGGGTGTTGTTCTTGTTTGCCAACCAGTCGCAGAATTGGCAACAAACAGACATTTCCACTGCAAACGAACAATCTGTTTGCGAGCAGGTTCTCTATCGAGGTAAAAAGCAAGAGGTATGTACAACACAGTTTTTAATTCGAATTCTTTGATTGTAGTTCGGAAAATATGCTTATATTTACGGTCTTAAAACATTTAAAGTTTAACATCTCATTTAAGCTTAACAAGAAATATATGCGAAGCGTTTTTAGTTGTTGGAATAATATTATATGCTAAAACATAACCTCAAAGATCCGTTGAAAACAGCAAGAAGGAAAATTTGATTCACGACGGCCATCTGTAGCTGAGCGAGATCATTTCCGGATGGCCATTCATGTTCTCTCAAAATTTATCTTAAATATTAGTTTCAACAACTCGATAAATTTTTAACAAATAAATGACAGTGAATTCTTCTTTCCTTTTTTAGTGGGAACACAAAAACATTAGCGTGAAAAAGAACATCCGCAATGGAAAATGTAAGTAATTTCCTATAAAACTCAACATGGGAGCAAATACAAATAACACCTTGCCACGCGAATTTCATCGAATTGCATGGTCACGCGAATTATATTAGCCATAACACAAACTGTTTGAACTTCATCGTCAAGTTGTAGCCTGAATACTGAGGAGAGGGTTTCACGAATGAAAAATATTGGTTCAGGCGATAAGTTTGTAATGTTGTCACTCTTCGATGGATGTCTTGTGGCGTGAATTTAATTTGCCACTACTATTTCACCGCTGTGCTCTCAATACTTTCTAAACAAGAACATCATATATTTTACGCTACCTGTCAAGCTCAATTGTTTTGGCGCTTCATTATAATTTGTAAGATGCGCAATTCATTTGCAAACAACCTCGTGGGCTGAAATATGCTAATTTTAATACTTTCTTTTTTATACACCGATTTCATTTTCTGTGTTAGTAATTAATAATAATTATTTAAAATTAGCGGTTATAATAACATTTTTACCGGTGTTTGTTGTATTTATTGAGAGTAAATTCTAGTGAATTTGTTGTCAGATATATTTACCGTGGAATTTTGCACAATCTTGTTACGTTATCTTGTTACGGTACCTTTTTTTTAACTTTTCACCTAATCGACTGGCATTAACAAAAAAGGTAACAATTTTGAATTTTGTTCTATGAAAAATGAATGCAGAAAGTTAATTTTTCTCCTCTTTTCAAGTAGCAGAGTTGATCTTTTTGTAAAAAAGTAGAATTGCCGGAACCTTTCACTGATTTATAACAAACTGCTTCTAAATAGCATGAATGATAAAGTAGTTTTGTCAGCCAACGGTTATGGACCCACGGGGGTACTCCGGATTTCAAATGACGGGCATAATAGAAGGATTTTAGGGAGTTTGAAATTTTCGATTCCAGAATTTTTTTAGGTAGGAAAATTTGGCAAGTATTTTTTTTTGGTGGTTTGATCTAAAGTAGGGATTTTTGGGGGTATTCAAAACAAGGTAGTACCTTCTTATCCTGGCCAAGTTGTAGTTCTGCGAAAACAGTACAAACAATTTGGCTTGGCATTTTTGGGGGGTTAATTTTCGGTCTAGGGTTTTTTTTGGTTTTGATTTTTGCCCCCATTCAATCATTCCCATCACTTGAAATCCAGAGTACCTCCACTGGGGTTATGGACAGCCAAGCCACAAACGATATTAGCAAATGGAGATTTATTTAGTGTCCTTTTTCTTTCCCTTCCCCCCAAATGGAAGGGCCCTTCATCTTAGCTCCAAGTATTTCTTCTTTCTACATTTTCCATAAACAAATTAATTTGAACAATAATCCACCCTGGCAGTGATCCAAAGAGGATGATGATGTTGCTTAATAATTTTATTGTTATCTCAATGATACCACCACAGCTTTACAGAGGTGAAGTGGTCATCTTATAGTATTACTTTCTTTTGAGCTTCCTGTCTATCACTCCACCTCACCACAGCTTTTACAGAGGTGAGGTGGTTATCTTATACTATTACTTTCTTTTGAGCTTCCTGCACAGTCTTGCTTAAAAAAGGTAAAAAATAATACTTTTTATGAACTTTGCACAATATACCAATATCTTTAGTAGAGATGTTTAGGAAAGAGCCAAATTATTATATCAACAACTAACATAGGTCAATATGGTCTCAAGATGGCCTCTTAAATACATTCAAGTCTTATCTTGTTGAATTCTTGTTTGCATCAGATGTGATGGAAGTTAAAAAAATTCCACGAAGAGCAATGTTTTGGAAGTTGGCAAAAAAGCCTGAAGCCATAGAACTGGTTCCCAACAGTTATGCAGTGGTTCACCTGGACGACCTCGACAACCACAGAAATGTTCTTGCTCTCATACATCTTAGTCGAAATTCCCGGATAACAGGCGTGCAGTTTTTTACATCAGAAAACACTCAAGTGTTCTGTAATATTAGAGATTTCCTGTCAAAGTGTTGTGATGGTAAGAGCTTTAAGCAGGTTTATTGATTTTTCTAAAGTGTATAATATGTTGAGGTTCACAAGGGTTTGCTCTAAGAAAAATAATGTAGGGAGCCGAATGCTCTGAACCTGTCAAATCCAGAATGCCCAGTTGCCTGGGAGAAAAATCTCGGTAATAAGGTCACCTTCGTTATTACAGCCAGTTTTTTTCAGCCAGGCAAAACAGCCAAACATTTCCTTATAAAAAAATGTTAATGCAGTCACCCTTAAAATACCAAACAGTAGAATCTCTTATAATTTCACCTTGTTGATACGGCCATTCATTTGAAATTTACAAAAATTAATATGCCTGCGACATGTCAATTTCATTGACCTAGTAATCTGAGCTTATTCTTGTACTGTTTTCAGGCAGTACACTTAAAATGCACTTGTGGCGATTTATAGCTGAATTTCAAAATAGTTTCATGTAGTGAAGGATAATTTTAGGTAGTTTTTTCAATTACTGTGCATGATATCTACATTTCAGTGAGAACAGTTGTTTAAAAAATGTGAATGTGATGCACTGTGTATTTGTCATTACAGCCCTCAAGTCATGAAATTTGAGCCTGCCCTGGTAATACAGCCACCCCATTAATACACCCAATTTTTTTACTAATTGGTGACGGTATTAATAGGGTTCCTCTGTACACTCAACTGTCACCTTGTAGACACCTCACTATAACAGACACCTCGATAATACGGACAGAAGCTCAATCCCAAGCAAAAAATAAATTACACACATTTGACTGAAGTAAATCGCAGCTATTACAGACTCTTGCTAATGGGGACACCAACTTTGTGGGGGGGGGGGGCGGGGGTTTAGGGGGGGGTTTGTAAAATGGGACCACAAAAATTTTAAATCAATTTTTTTTTTTTTCTTGAAGGTGACCAAAATATAGTTGAAATACCGCTCCTTTAATGTATTCTATTTAGTTCAATGTTTTTCATTAGGGGTTTGAGGGGTGGTTTGTAACACTGGACCCTCAAAATTTTACATTCAGTTTCTTTTTTTTCTTGAAAGTGACCAACTGCATGTTGTAATGAGCTATCTGTAATGTGTTATTCTTAGTTCCGAGGTATTCACTTATGTGATAATTTGAGACTGAAAGGTTAATTTGTCAATTTGGTTCAATTTTTTCCAGGTGTTTCTTTTGATGTTGCCGTCAGTGACGTTCAAGACAAAACTCACCTACTAATATTCCATGACAGGGTTTGTTTAACAAGAATCCAAGGATATGACTTCACACTGCATAGGGAATGGCCCATTGAATCTCTGACACAGCTGACAGCCACAGCTAGTGGTATCACCCTTGTCATGACAAAGGAAGGGAGAAAAGAACCATTTGATTTGAGAACTGAACAAGGAAATGAAATAAAAGTACCTTTAAGGGACAAGATTCAGTGCCTTTCACCTGCCATCCAGCGACATCTTTCTTGTGGTATGAACATAGCTACAGGAATAACACACTGCGATGGCAACTCTAATATTGTACCAACTGCACACGAGTCTCAGGCCTTCAAAGCAAACCCAGTACAATTTACAGTAACTAATCATAAAACACAAGGGCAATTTCCATCACCAGACGAATCAACTTGTCTATCCAGGATAACTGCGAGTTCTGGTGATCTGAGATTAAGTCCTCTGCATCTTCAATCTGTTTCTGGCTCAAAATCGGTTTCACAGTTATCTGAAGTTACACATAGACTACAGTATGACGATAAGGTTAACTCTCAAAATCAGCTAAAAGTGAATGACACCAAGGAAATGTATACACGTGACTGCGAAGGCAAACCTGAAGGGAAACATGCTAAAGAGGATCTTGAACATGATCCACCACCTGTCCCACAGCGTCAATTAAAACCCAGTGGCAAACAGACAACACAAAGCGATTTGGTCACTGGTGAAATGTCTGCAAATAATAACAATATGGGTGATTCTACTTTACCAAGGACACGAAGCTTTCAGATTGTTCAACAACCCTTGAATGAGCGAAAAAGGCAACGACACAATAGCGTGCCACGTAAAGAAGGGAGAAAGACAATTACAGAGCTTGTTCAACCAATATGCGAAGACCCTCCTCCTAAAAAATCTGAAAATGGTTGTGAAGATGAATTATTGGATTTGGAGCCGTCAAGCAATGTTGGTTTGCCAACAGATAGGCATTGCACTGTGGCTAAAAATGAGGATAATCGCAAAGATTATGAGCACCACAAACTGCCTGACATGGTTGAAAATAAAGAGGAACCAGCCACAGATAAACTACTTTCTGAGCACCACAAACTAGCGAACGTAGCTGAAAACAAAGGGGAGCCAGCCAGAGATAAACTGCATTATGTTAACTTACCACAAGGCTTTAGACCAAGTTGTTATCTTTACATGAATCTTCCTGATCCAAAGAAAGCTCCCAAGGAATCTGTGACTTATGTCAACCATGTTTACATGGGCAGAAGTATGAAAGGCATTTATGAAAATGTGTTTCCCATCATGTCGGAATGTCCAGAGGGAAAAGAGCCAGTACCAGAACTTCCACCGCCAACACTTCAACCTCGTCAGCCACCACCTCGAATACCACAGCGGCTACCACCTGGTAGGCAAGTACCGCGAAATATGCCACCAAAATTTCCTACGGCAAGTCCTTTACCTTGTCCACCTCCCCGCCCACCAAGGAAATCTCTTAAATGTACATCAGCTTCAAAGGTAACAAACATCTTGTGTCATGATGTAATAATGAATACAGTTGAAGCTCTCCTTGTGATCATTCTCATAAGCGACCAGCTCTTAATACGACCACCTTTGTGAAACCCTGTTTGAACTGTTGTAATGAAAAGCTCTCATAAGTGACTGCTCCCATAAGCGATTACATCAGCTTTGGAGATTACCCAACTGTACTTTCCCTTTGTTTTTGAACTTTTGTAAGCGACCACTCAGAGTCTTACATATAAATCAACACTTTACTGAAACAGTTTAGCTATGTCCATATCAGATAAAAAGACACTCGTTAAACATTAATTTCTTCTTTATGAATTGTTGATGAGTTTTTAAGCTCTTGTAAGCGACCACCCTATATTTTACTGCCATGCGGTTGCTAACGAGAGCTCATTCTCATAAGTGACCAGCTTTCGTTACGACCACTTTTTAGAATTTCTGGGGTGGTCGTTTACGAGAGCTTCGACTGTAATAAAAATTATTCACCTAGTAATAAAGAGGAGAAGTGTGATGTCATGTTACCATGGAAGCAAAATTTTTGGATCACAACAAAAGGGAGCTTAGGCAACAACGATGGCGACAAGAACGGCAAAAAAAGCAATAAGTTTACATTAATAAAACAACTTTGCACATCATGCATCATGCTTTTCTGCACATTTTTTAGCCATCGTTGCATGACTGCGACATGAAACTTCCTAATTTCACGCGTCTGCTTTACTGAGTAGGTGAACAAAACTCGGATTTCTTAACTTGGATAGGATCCTTTCGGATTCAACCCCAGAAAATTTTGCCAACATTTGGCAAATTAAATGAATAAGATAGATGAAGTTTGAAACAGTGCAAATTTACTTTTTAAGTGAATTTTTGGTTTTGCTACCATGGCAACATGACATAGCGACCCCTCTTTATTTAGCTTTGCATGTAATATTCTACAATTCCATGAGGGATTTGCAAGTCTTGATGATTCATTGTAAAATGTTTGACTTGTTTAGGAGGACATCCAAGTTCAAATTGCAGTTTTTGCATCAAGAGCAGTTGTCAGTCGGGTGTGGTACCTACGGATTGTGGTGATGAAACATGATCCAGATGACACTACCTTTAAAGTGAGTTGATCATTGTTATTAATATTCTGTTAGTGAAAGACTGTGATAAGAAAACTCAGTAAATTCCTTCTTGGTGTGTGTTCATCACCCTTAATAAGATTGTTACTCTGCATCCATAATTGTTACTTGACGACAAGGGTGTTAATCAGAGGGGGCTTATGACTTATGGTTTGCCAGCTTTGTAGGAAACTAATAATACTTTCTGATGAGTAGAACTCAGATTGGACTATTCATATATATATATATATTTCACAAATTAAGGCTCTGGAAAACAGATGTTAAAATAATTCTGTAGAAATAAACCAAAATTTCAGCCCAAAAAAATCTACCTCCCCCCAGCCCCCGCCCATTTAATCTGCTCAGCCAATGAAAAAGACCCCTTAAGTTACTGCAGTATAGTCATATGAAAATGTTAGAATGTTCTCCTTATGTTATCCTGTTCCAATGATTTGTATAGACGGTGAAGGAACGGGAACTTGCCAGCAAGTATCATCTGATGCAGACTCATCCATGTAGCATTTCCTCAGATATCATCATTTCATTAAAACATCAGTGCCAGCAGTTTAAACTTACCAGCGAAGATTCACAGGTGAATACTTTAAATGAGATGAAGAAATTTCTCAAATAATAGTTGAACTGTAAATGCCCAACTTCAATAATAGTATTACACACCATTCCAAATTAATACTTTGTTTTAGAAAATTTTTTGCTCTAAAGTGTTACATTGTTATGCAGAAAATGTTCAGCTCTCTCTCTGAAAAAGAGTCTCAGCCCCCAGGTGCTGGCTCCTTGGAAAGTTGAGCGGTGGGGTAGGGTCTCTGTATTGGTTTATAGCAGACTGGGTATGTAAATTTTAACCCATAAGTACATACTCCCATTGGCTATCTGGTCCCAGTTCTTCAAAAGGTGGATAGCGCTATCCACCAGATAAATCTCTATCCAATGGATAGCGCAATCGTTTTCCCTAATATTTATCCGCTGGATAGTGATTTATCCGGTGGATAGGGCTATCCAACCTTTGAACAACCGGGGCCTGGAGGTGACATAACATAACCTATGAGAAGTCTCTCTGAGGGCAACATTGCAAAATCTATATTATGTCAGAGGGAACAATGCATTTTTTTCATAAGGTAGTTTTGTTCTTACCATCAATATAACAGTTTTCCAGTTTAGGAACAGTCAGAGTTTTACATTCACTGTCATTAATGTGTATGTTTTTTTGCCAACAGGAGGTTGATTACCACATAATTGAGAATCTTGTTCATGGGTTTTGGTTTGTGGTTGAGTTCCATTTGGAACATTTAAGCAATGAAGTTGACCAGTTTGTTGGAAATGTCTGTGTCGAGCCTAAAGGTCTCCCTGTTGGTGAAAAATGTCCAATCAACAAGAAATTCAATCTTGGAATCACCGAAGATTTTGAACTGAAGGTTAGCTATATCCTTTGAATTAAACCATTTACATCCAGTACATCCATAGATTGATTGCGATTTGCTCTGATTTAAATACTGTTGGCCAGAAACAATCAATGTGGTACATTATATGAAATCTCAACTAAGACGGTGTTAATAGTTTGTAGGCAAAATTTGTACTTCCACTAAAATGTGACTTTGCTTGTAAAGATGTGATCACCAAAGTATAGATCAGCGTTCTGGGATTTGTGGTGCACAGGACACCCAGCATATTCCTACATACCTTACAATCCCACCTTAAAGCCCTGGGCTTATATAACTTCATAAGGGGTTTTGGGTGATTAAACTTATCTGAGAAATGAATTAAAGAGAATTACAGAGTTACCGGTACCGGATATACCATTATATCCAGAATACTATCCTCATTAGTTAATGGATGGGCTTATATCCAGGGAAGGGGAGGGTTAAAACTGGAAGGGGCTTTAACATGGGATTTTGCAGTATGTTATAATTGCAAAGTGACAAATACAAATTCTTCAGACTGATCTCCTTACATTTCCTTACAGAATTGGTTATAAGAGAATTTGATAAAATATCAAAGCATTTTCCCTTTGGTGATCATTTTTATTAATTCTCACAGCCTTTCCATTGATTGTGGTGACATTGTTAGGAGAAAATTGGTGTTGGTCACTCACTCTTTGGATTTTAAAAGCAGGGCTCAAAATAAAAGTGCCTATAACCCATAGCCAATATCTTTCTTTTTAAAAAGTAGAAACATATAACATGCAAAAACAAGCAATAGAATGAGATTTGAGCTCAATCTCGATTTTTAACAGGTGATCAAAATCCCAGTTCACGAAGTAAAAGACGTGCCTTATGAGGGACTGGGCCTGTGACGTCAACCCAGTATCTCAGTGATAATACGATTGGCTACAAGATACTGGGTTGACATCACAAGCATTTAGTGCCAAGTCTCTCAATCACTCCTTTTTGAATAAATAAGGTGGGAAATTAGCCTCAAATTGCCAATTTCGTCCTTCGATAAAAGTGTGTTGAAATGCAAAATAACTTTTATTTCTTCGCAAAAATTCTTTAAACTACCAAAGTGTTCAAAATTTAATATAACTGAACACAGTTGATAGGCACTGTAACGCTCGCAAACTCGCAAAATGCAAGTGATTTTGATGATCTGCGAGTGAGGAAAATATCCAGTAGCAATCGTCCAATAAGAATTATCCACGTCTCCCAAACAAAGGGAAAGCATTTGCTAGTCATCTCACCAGTTTGCTAGTGGAAAAACACTCTTACGAGTAAAATTTTGCAAGTGCACTAGAAAGTTAACTTTGAGCCCTGCTTTAATGGTTTAACTCCAAGGTTTAAAAAAATTAGTACTCATTCAGTAACCTGCAACCTGTTTTTCTTTAATTTACAGCAACAGTGCAGCAAATGTGAAAAACCTGGGGGTTGTAACACAGAACACCAGCCCTGTAAATCACGAGTTATTTCTGATTATAAACTGCGGAGGAAAGTTTGTCAGCAACTAGATAACACTGTGCATTCATGTTACAACTGGAAAGATGTAGCCGGACGGCTGGAATTTTCTGTGGAAGATATAAACAACATTGAATACTTGGCATTTTGCCGTCATGGATTCTCCCCAATGGAGAATGTTCTTTCAAGATGGGAACAACGTGACCCTCAATGCAGCTTAGAAAGACTTGTCAGCATTTTAAGAGAAATTCAAAGAGTGGATGTGGTTTGTGAACTTGGTTATCCTGTGGACTGGAGAAGCTCATGATGTGATTAAGTGATTTGGCACATTACTGCTGTTAATTCAGAAGTGGTGTAAAAATGTCAATTTTTTAATTACGTATAGTGGAACTAGGATATAATGAAGGACCAAGGGACTGGAAAATATTTGTTTGCTATAACGAGGTTTCATTATAATATTATTATCAAGATTCCCCTTCACAATTTTACTATCACTGGGGTAAAGAAGAACGTTTGTTATACCAAGGAATTTGTAAAATAGAGGTCCGTTTTATAGAGGTTCCACTGTACTTGTTAATAAAAGTCATTAATTTCATAGCTAATGAAGATTTAAACAAAGGACATCACTTCTGTGAAGTTATTACCTGTAAAACTGGAAAGCTTTGAAAATGTTGCTCTTGTTCAAAACTTGTTGATCGAGGATCAAGATCAATATTATAAAGCTATAAAAAACACTTGAAAGAGTTAATTGTTCCATAGATATCTAGACACCTTGAAGTTGAAAAAGCCTTAGCTACACTTTATTTTTTCCAGATTCCTCTCAATGTGTCTGGATATTAGCACCAATAAAATATTCTAAGTGTGTTTGATCTAACAGTAATAAATTTAATTTTTCTTCAAACATGCTCCTCAGTCAGGAAATAGACCTTCTAAAAAGGGTTCATAATTTTTTAAACGAGAAAGGTCCAGTTTTGCCAACCATTTACATTTAAAACTGATGTGCAATGGCAACAGTTTTGTCAATGTTGATTTGGCACATTACTGTTGTTAATTCAGAAGTGGCGTAAAAATGTCAATTTTTTTAAATACGTACAGTGGAACTAGGATATAATGAAGGACCAAGGAACGGGAAAAAATTTGTTTGCTATAACGAGGTTTCATTATAATTATTATCAAGATTCTCTTTCACAATTTTACTATCATTGGGGTAAAGAAGAACATCCATTATACCGAGGAATTTGTAAAATAGAGGTCCGTTCTATAGAGGTTCCACTGTACTTATTAATAAAACTGATTAATTTCATAGCTAATGAAGATTTAAACAAAGGACATCACTTCTGTGAAGTTATTAAAACTGTAAAGCTTTGAAAACGTTGCTCTTGTTCAAAACTTGTTAATCGAGGATCAAGATCAATATTACAAAGCTATAAAAAACACTTGAAAGAGTTAATTGTTCCATGGATATCTAGACACCTTGAAAAAGCCTTAGCTACACTTTATTTTTTCCAGATTCCTCTCAATGTGTCTGGATATTAGCACCAATAAAATATATTATAAGCGTGTTTGATCTAACAGTAAGAAATTTATTTTTTCTTCAAACATGCTCCTCAGGAAATAGACCTTCTGGAAAGGGTTCGTAATTTTTTAAATGAGAAAGGCCTAGTTTTGCCAACCATTTACATTTAAAACTGATGTGCGATGGCAACAGTTTTGTCAATGTTGATTTGGCACATTACTGCTGTTAATTCAGAAGTGTGTAAAAATGTCAATTTTTTAATTACGTATGGTGGAACTAGGATATAATGAAGGACTAAGGAACTGGAAAAAATTTGTTTACTATAATGAGGTTTCATTATAATTATTATTATCAAGATTCTCTTTCATAATTTTACTATCACTTGGGTAAAGAAGAACGTCCATTATACCAAGGAATTTGTAAAATAGAGGTCCGTTTCATAGAGGTTCCACTGTACTTGTTAATAAACTCATTACTTTCGTAGCTAATGAAGATTTAAACAAAGGACATTCCTCCTGTGAAGTTATTAGAACTGTAAAGCTTTGAAGATTTTGCTCTTGTTCAAAACTTGTTGATCGAGGATCAAGATCAATATTACAAAGCTATAAAAAAACACTTGAAAGAGTTAAGTGTTCCATGGATATCTAGACACCTTAAAGTTGAAAAAGCCTTAGCTACACTTTTTTCCACCAATAATATATTCCATGTGTGTATGACATACCATAGCCTGCGAACTGCAGACGCATTTCCGGTCATCACTTCTCTCCCTCCGGAGGGAGAGAAGCGACGGCTGGATTCAAATGCTTCTGCTGTTCGCAGGCTAGACATACCAGTAATAAATTTAATTTTTCTTCAAACATGCCCCTCAGGAAATAGACCGTCTGGAAAGGGTTCGTAATTTTTTAAACAAGAAAGGCCCTGCTTTGCCAACCATTTACATTTAAAACTGATGTGCAATGGCAACAGTTCTGTCAATGTTGATGTAAAGCAAAGTAAATTTTTTGTAAGTATTCTATTTTTATGTCAGGAAATAAATACATCTAAAATTTAAACTAGCTTTAAACTTGTTTAAACTAAGCTTGTTTTGCAACTTTTTTATCTTTTTTCTTTCCGATTACACTTAAAGTAGTAATGTAGTAGTACTAACAGTTTGTTCAGAAATAAAAGTGTCTTACATTATTCTTGAATGAGAAATAAAAAAGAGCCTCTATAATAATCCTCTACTGTGATCTTTTATTAATTGACATGGCCATATGAGATATTAACATTCCATTTAAAATTAGATCTGCAACGTATTTGAACTCTATCTTTCAAAACCACCCAAGAACATAATGGTAATGACCAGTCTCTAGACTGCATTGAAGATGTTTTCTTCGGGTGTGCCAGTGTTTATGCCAGTGTATCCGCAATGCTGAATTCTTAAAAAAGTTTAAGACTTGGGGTGATTCCATGGGGGCAAGGACGACCCCATAGGATGGTATTGCTGGTTTGCACGTGACCTCACAGCAGTCATGTTTGTGGTCAAGAACAAAAGCATTACTCTACTCTGGGAACTGAACTCTATATTCATGTAAATTTCTTCGAGAAAAATTCTACTGTATTGACCCCTAACATGGCCTCCTTGTCACGTGGTTGCAAACCAAGAATTTCTACTAACCCCAATCACTCTCAGTGATAAAATCAAAGATGGCAACCACAGAATTATGAACATACAAGTAAACAAGAGGCTTTCACTTACCCCAAAAATAAGCCTGCAATGCATGTTAATCAGTCTCCTAATAACTGAATATCACTATTCACATGATAATATTTTGAACTTATCTGACTGGTCCATTTTGGAACTAAGAACCTATGCTTTTGATTCATTACATCCCGTTAGATTCATTACTAGCCTGCACAGCTGACAGGTTTTTGGTCTGTTTTTCTGCCCAGTGTGTGTCTGAGAGTCACCCACGCGCGAGGTCAATTGAGAAAATGTGCGAGGTCAATGGAGAATTTCTTTTCTGTTCTCCGTTCAGCTTTTGCGAGGCTGTATCTCTTACTTTGCAAACTGCTTTTAATACAAACCCCGTATGAAACACAAATGAAAAACACATAAAAAAAACTGCCAGCTACGCAAAGGTGCTTTACACCCAGGCATTAGTTCTAGAGACATTACCGAGCAGTTAGACTCTAAAGAGGGGGGGGGGAGGTCTCGTCACAAGTTCGCGGGCAACAATTCTGCACTCACAAGTCCCAAAGAAATGGTGGAATTATTGATCTTTGATCTCCACCATGTGTTCGGGTGATCTCTGCGCAGCCATTAATTCCCTAGGGGATCCAGCTGTAAGTTAAATCAAACCACCAGATGCTAGTTAAATTAAACCACCAGATGCTAGTTAAGGTCGTTTGGCCAAATAAATGATTTAATTTCTTCAACTGATGGATTTTTGCAGTTCACATTTCACAGAGTGCACTTCGATCATGGCTTCTCGAAAATAAGCTTGCCCCCGCTCTCCAAATACTTATAATACAACAAATATTCGCTCCTTGGTAACTTGACAAGTCAATGAATGATGCAGTTCTCTTGGGAATGTACAGTTCATATCATACTTTTGATGAAGCTAAGAATTGTCCTCTCCAAAGAGATTTGCATTGACAGTGGCACATACATGTATATGAAGAGCTCTATATTCTCTCTGACAACCATATTGCTGCCTTGCAACCGGTCTGGATGATTGTGGACAGTGCCTGATACATTGGTGCCTAGACAAAGAGAAGAAAATTCTTTTTAGTCTAGGTCTCCTTTATTGACTGATAAACTGATAAAGCATACTACACCACACTCCCCTGCTGGCAGAGGCCTCTTTTTTAAGGTATTCGGCAGGCAAAAGAAAAGAGGTCTCTTTTCCTCTCGCCAGCCAAATACCAGGGAAAAGAGGCCTCTAATTACAAGGAAACACAATACATCAGAATTTTCTCTCATCAAGAAAGTCAGGTTGGTTTGTTGTGTGGAACGCCCAATCCAACCTTTGAATGACAGGGGCCAGTATGTTACATGCTAATTAAAAGTGTGCTGTTTATGCCAGAGGCATGTCAAGATGAAGAGAGTTTCAGGCATGTTTAAGCATCTTACAAACAATGTACATCAATAACATGTTGCTTGCATGTCACAGTGTGCCGTAAAAAAGTCACAGCCATGTGACAGACATACCACGGGTCAGTCTTGCAAAACAGGACAGAGATGTCTCAAAGAAAAAGGCAAATTCAGTTTGCTCACCTTTTCAGCATCATGCTCTTCTCCTATATGAAGGTGCTCCAGCTCTTCATCACGAAACTTTTGTATTGTCTAGGACATTATTAAAATACTGCAGATCAACTTAGTGCAACTGCTGTCATTGTTTTGGTGCCAATAACTCTCAGGTACCAGTAGCATTCTGGTCTTAAGATACAGTGAAAGTGCAAAATTTAATGGAGATAAGGAAACCCAAATGGCTAGAGATTATTCCCATAGTTTCTACAGGTTGTCTTAGTTGACAGAGTTGAGAAATGTCCAGTGAATTACTGTACTTAGTTAAAATAAAAAGACTGCCCTGTCCTGTTCTTATGAATTCAATTTTACAGTGTTCATCAAGGCAAGTAGATGGGTCAGTGAGGCTTAAATTTGACTCCACTCTACAGTTCAGCATGAAGTAATGCTTCCTTTCCTTACCCAGGGCAAGTCAAATTATTACTGTGAAACTCACAAAACTCTGAGCACCAGAAATATATCTGGAATGTTATTTTGTTGCGAGGAGAAAGCCAACAAAGCATGAGAAAACTAAACTGCAACAGCCACAGCAATAAGTTTGTGGTTTTTAGGTTTGCTCACCTGTCCTGCACTTTGTTGTGACTGGTCACACAATCAACAGTCTGGAAATTTTTCAGGTGTTCACAGTTTACTGAGTTTGACAGTAATACATTGATTGAAATCAACTTACATCTAATAACTCTTTATTTTCATCTGTTACACCTTCTGTTAAAAGTTCCCTCAACTGACTGAAAATGAGAAAGAAATATTCAGAAAACTTTCAACATACAAACAAACATAGCCTGTACATATGTCCAAGTTTGCAGGCAGCTGCAAAATTTGCTAAAACTGGAAAATTCAATGAATCAGGGTAGAGCAGCATTAGAGGAGTTGGAGAGGGCCCCAACTAACTCAATGATTTTTGTGATTTTACATTTTTTTGGCAATTATTGTGAAAAATTGGACCATTTTTGGGACTTTTCGCAAGTGCACAAAAAATCGCAAATTTGCAGCTGCGTGTAATACCCTTCTGTTAGCAATCACCCCAAATTGCCAAGATTAGAGGTTCCACCTATAGTGCTTTGACTGGGAAAGCTGATTTTGGTATTTTATAAAAAGTGGTATATTAACATATATGTTGTAGTTAATTTTCTATTTTACTTAATTATTTTTTCCATTGTTTTTGGGTATGGTAATGTATGCTAATGAATTTGTGTGGTACCAACAATTTTTTAAAAAGAAAATTAAAAATATTTATTATAGATGTCAGTTTTGGAAAAAAAAAGGTTGTGAGCAAAAGAGGAATGACTGCAGTCTCAATCATGCATTTTTTTCGTTACTTTCTCCGAAAACAGACAATGGTCTCACAATTTCTTGTGTCAGAAAGGAAGAAGACTCTCAAAGCAATGAAAATGATGACCAGTCAAACCGCAATTTCCCCACTGTTGATATTGCCACATTAACTAAAAGAGTGACTCATTTTGTATTATATATATCTGTGTGATTTTGCTAAAAGGTGCCCGCTAAGTTTTTGCTCTAACACGGGCATCACCTGTGTTCAAGCCAGTGTAGCCAGAAAAAAACCGGGGGACTTGCCATCTTGCTAGGGTCAGCTGAGAGCCCAGGCCCAGACCTATCCGTGGGTGGGTGGCTTCCTTGTTTTGTGTGAAAACAAGGGCGGTAGGGAGGGGAGATTTTGTCACTTTGGTTAGAGTTTTATGTCAGAAAGCAGTGCAAAGTCAGAGAATTTTTCCTGTGGCCCTAGGCCAGCCAAATCAATGCGGTGACTCATAATCATAACACTACTAGCATAGCTTGGGGGAAGTGATTGACTAGTCATAAGCTTCATGGGTGGGGAGGGTGAGTAATGGCTCCTTGGAGTTGACTGCCTAGAGACTCAGTACAGGCACCTTGTATGAAATCCAGACAGATATATAAAATATAGTTTTATAAAATAATTTTTGGGTTCAGTAAAATGAATTCTGTATTGCTCACTTGTCATAATGTTCACTTATTACTTCTTCAACAGCAACAGTGCAAGCCATGGCTGCTTCTTTTCCTAGTAATGCTGTTCCAGCACCTGCAAGGCAACACCAAAAAGTTTGAAAGTTTTAAAACAATATAACTTGCATCAAGCTGTTTGAGGTGGCCAAATTCACATATTATTTCACTCAGTGCACTTGCTAAGGGCCTCAACAGACTCGGCATTTATATTAATTTTGTCATCAACAACCTAATGTTATTGACAAGTAAAAACTGTGTGTCAAACCAGACTTGCTCTATATTTAAATAGATTTATGGACTACAGGAACACTAGACTTTGGAAATGTGGACTGAAAACACACCATTTTATTTGATAACTACAGGACCACAGGAATAGTTGATTTATATCACAATCTCATCTGAATGTAAACATGTATATACCTAAAACAAATCCTGCTACATTC